GCTGCTTAAAGTGAGAATTAGACCATAAGGACAGAAAAATAAATGTCTGCCTCCATGTAAGTGATGCATGTGTTCCTGTCTAAACGGTGTTTCCAGTATTCCTTTTAGAGATTTGTGATTAATTGTTCCCCAGGGTTAACAACAACACAACTGCCAAAAAACATTCACAGCCTTTTTTATTAGATATGTGCATGTGCATTAAATTTTACTCAGTAAGTGAGACGACAGTTGTTTTACAAAGAGAAATAAAAACTGAGAAGGCAAAACATTATTAGTTTATATTTCTCTGCAGTATTATAGACTCAGTCTATAAACACAAAGTGAATTCATTTACATTTGTCTGCATTCTTTTTCTGCATTTTTAATTTATACTTCACACGTGGTCATTGCAGCTGACTACTGTAACACTGGTCAATTAACTGTGGCTGGAAAGTTTAACGGGAGTTCAAGGCCCACTGGCAGACCGCCAGTGAATTATCCTTGCATCCTCTTTCTGTTTTTGCTGATGAGTTATGAAAATCATCTGAGGAGTACTAACCCCATCAACAGCTGAGGACAATGTCAGGCAGGATGGCAATAAGCTATTAGTGTCCACTTTCTGTGGGCTGTCGTACCAGGGGAAGTTGTCGTGCTTACAATATTAAATAGCCATGCCATGCTATAAATCACAGTTTTTTCCCATTGTTTTAGCACCAGGAACCCTGCTGGTTTTTACTGAGTCACATAACTAGACATAAACTTTAATGTAGGTCAGTGAGTGAATGCAAAGGCCAGGAAGTAATAGTACTGACACTTTTAGTATGAATGTTTTTAAAACTACTGAATTTTAATAGTTTTTGTGTGCAGACCCAGTGTCATCTAAGGCTCTAAGCGAGTTCAAGTCAAAACACCCATATTAAAGTCTAAATTTACAATTAAATTAAAACAAATATCCACCATGTTCTACTTACCAAAGGCTTTCTTGGGTCCCACAAGTCGAAGAGTGAAGGGTACGCCTCTCGGTTGCTCTTTTAGCATCTTTGCAACCTCGTAGTGCCGACACCCTACAATGCTCTGGTCATTGATGGCCTCGATGTGATCTCCAACACATACTGTCTTCAGCTGGTCGATGGTGCTGCCTTCCTTTATCCTCTGAAAGACAAAGATTTGACTAAATACAGTATATGAATATGATGTGAGTTATCAGCTTTTTTGGAGGGGGGGGGAGCACATTGCATTGGCATATTACAACTAGTGTAATCATTACAGATTTTACAATGACATATTTTTATTATTGCAATATGACCAAAAAAAAGGAAATTAGGTTTTAATTTGTTTGACTTTTATTCTGGTTACATTTTTAAAGTTTCTCAGAAAAGTGGATTTATCTAACTTTAATGACGTCCTAAAAATGTCCTTGGTTTTATCTTTTTTAACACCTCTGTGGCCTCTTACTGTAAGGTAGCAATGACCAGCTGAAGAGTGGAGTTTCTGCTCTGTGCTTTGTCTTATTAATCATCACAAAAAAATCAAAATGTTGCCGCAATTGGTAAAAAAAAAAAAAAAACTAAAAAAAAACCTTCTCATCCACCTTGATGAAAGCGTAGCCGGCCCCGTTGTCTGTGATCGTGAGACCCAGTGCATCTTCTGTCTTTGTCACCTCCACCTCTTTGGTCTCCCCTCTTACATGGGCAAAGATGAAGTCCTCCAGTCCAATCTGTCCCCCCAGTAGTTTCTGCATGTCCACTTTATGAGAGTTGAGAGTGCAGAACAGGATCTGAGGAGAAGGAATATATATA